TTGGGTGCATGGTACAGTACAGGCCACACATAGCACGGACCGGAAAGTTTGCTGACCGAGCTCGGTGGGGCATTCACCTCGGGATCGAAAGGAATACAAGGCGTGGATCGTGCTGGACTACGCGACACACGAAGTGACGAAATCACGTGACTGCATCTTCTACGAGAAGCTGACTCTGCCACTGTTCAACGAACACCGCGAAGCTGACAAGGCACCGGAACGGATCTTCGAAGGGCATCGCAGCTTCGCAACTCCACATGATGAAGCTGAGCTGGCGGAAGATGAGGATGCGGCAAACGTCACTCAGTTTGACAGCGCACCCAACATCCCCCTTACAAGCCCATTCCAAACCCCAACCTTCATTCCTCTACACCAAACTGATCCCGACGATACAACTCGCAATGCCCATGACTTCAACAGCGCCGCCCGCCACTTACCAGATGCCGTGTTACCACAGCCCAACACCTCGCAAGACACCCTCCGCCCTGGCAACGAAAGCGACGACGACGTGGTCGAAGTAACCAGCTTCCACGACTACGACCGCCTGCACTACGAAAAGACCAACGAAACTGGTCTCCGAATCCTCGGACTTGCCGTCGCTGTTCGCCACCCCTCTCTCAAGGAACCCACCACTGTTCGTCAGGCTCTTTCCGGCCCCGACAGTGAGAAATGGAAAGCCGCCATGGCCAAGGAGGTCGCGTCGCTCAAGAACCGTGGCACCTGGAAGCTGGTTCCCCGAACATCTGCGAAGGGGAGAAAAATCTTAAGCGGCAAATGGGTGTTCCGCATCAAGACGCTGGCGGGCGGCTCCATCGACAAATACAAGGCGCGATGGGTGGTCCGCGGCTTCGAACAAACAGATATGGTGGATTTCGATCTCACCTACGCACCAGTCGGACGGCACACTTTGGTGCGGATTCTCATTTGCATCGCCGCCGTCAAACAGCGCCCGCTCCGTCAAATCGACGTCGGCAGCGCATTCTTGTACGCTCCGGTCGACGCCATCATCTTCGTCGAGCAGCCGCATGCCTTCGAAGAAAACGACGGCGTCGTCTGCTTGCTCCAGAAATCCCTTTACGGGATCAAGCAAGCACCTCGCCTGTGGCAGCAGTATCTCCACACGGTGCTCACAAACCTCGGCTTCCAACAGCTGCCCCACGACCTCGGAATGTACAGGAAGGAGTCGCGCGGCAAATTCATTCTCCTCGTTGCCTACGTCGACGACCTCCTCTACACCGGCAACGACACGGCGCTGCTGGACCAATTCGAGGCAGACATCAAGGAACAGCTAGAAGTCACCATCAACCACGACGTCATCCAATTCCTGGGTCTCAACATCACCCAGTCTGCCTCCTCCATTCATCTCTCCACCGCAAAGTACGCCGAAACACTCACGAAGAAATTCGGCATCGCACCAATCAACCTCTCCACCCCGTTTCGCACTCCTCCTCCTAACCACGAACCCGACACCACGCCTCTCTCTCCCGAAAAACATCGGCTCTACCAGCAGCAGCTGGGATGTCTCTTGTTCGCCGCCGCCACGTGCCGGCCCGATCTCTCCTACGTCGCTAGCCAGCTCGCACAGTACCTGAAGCGACCTGAAGGGGAGAATCTACTGGATCTACGCCGAGCACTGCAATACTTCATCTCTACTCCCGACGTCGGCCTCACCTACGAAGCTAACTTAACAGCCACCCTGCAGCTGCACGGCTACGTAGACGCTGACCACGCGGGGGATGTTGACAATAGACGCTCTCGCACAGGATTCATTTTTCAACTTCAACCTGCTGGGCTCATTTCATGGAATTCTCAGAAGCAGGAACTCATCACCCTTTCGTCAGCTGAAGCAGAATTTATCGCCGCCAGCGCAGCTGTTCGCAAAGGATTGTACCTGATGGAGCTCCTGCAGGAAGCGAAAGTAACGATGAACGGGCACTTCACGTTACTTTGCGACAACCAGAGCGCGATCAAGATCGCAAACAAGCACGGCTTCGTGAATCGCACGAAACACATCGCCCTTCGCTACTTCTTCGTCAAGGACGAAATCGACAAGGGCAAGGTTAAGCTCACGTACTGCCCGACTGGTGACATGGCAGCCGACTTCCTGACAAAGAAATTGCCACGTCAACAGTCCCAGCACTGCGCCAACCTTTGCGGGATCACCAAGAAGTCCCACGTGGCCCACCTTCAGGAATGAAGGGGAGTGTTGGAATAACCGAAAGGTTATTATAAAACATTCCCAAAGGTTCCCCACTCTCGCGTCACTCCATAACGAAGTGAACGCCTGTACTAGTACCGCAATAGATCATATAGAGCACGCGGAAGGCCGAGGGTCACCCGAAGGTCAACGGTCGAAGACAGTCAATAGTCGTGACCCTTGACTGCCCAGTAACCGCATGAGGCAGTTACGAAGTGGAACGTGGTAATTGTCTAGAATGGCAATAGTCGTGGGTTACTGTAGCAATGCAATTCAGTTAATAAGGGAATGTACCCCTCAGGGTACATGGCTAGCTAGGAATGCTATTTATTTCCCTGTACTTCCATCTTATAATCATCTTGTTTTCTCTCAACTTATTAACAAGGTCACTATAGAGACTTATAGTTCTCTTCTTTCACACTTGGCTACCTTATCCTGTCCACTACGATCCTTTGGTTATATCAACACCCGGGTCTATAATACGGACACGGGTACTCTATTCGAGTACATCTGAGTTATACCCCCCTAAATGGCTCCTAACATTATAAGATCCCCCCACATCCTAGAGAAGTGTGGATTTTACAAAAATGGAACATGCAGTCATCTTCTATGCGGCAACCAGCCGAGCACAGTACGGGGAAAGAAACAGGAGGGGGAAGTGAAGTCAGCCCAATGAACAAGGACGTGCCAGAATACAGTAGGGGCGTCTGGAAGATCCCGCCCTTTCCATGAGTGTGCAGCCCGCACGAAGCGTGCATGGGGTGTGAAGCCCGAGGCCATCAAACGGTGCCCTGCGCTGTTGTGTGAACACCACGTGGTGTTGGTGGCCAATGGGAGGAGGCTCTCAGATAGGGTTCGTGATGACGTGGGTTCGGCCCGTGTCGAGACCAATTCGAGTATTTTTGGGAGGAGCTAAAAACGGAGCAATTCCAAATCACTTCTTTGAGCTCCAAAACTACATTCTTATAAATGTCAATATGAACAGACCCGAGCAGGCCCTCAGATTGGTTTGAGGGTATGCTGATGGATCAGCGTGCCCCGGCCAACGAGGTGTCCAAATCAGCGTTCACGGTTTTTTTTATACTGATTTTGCCAGTGTAAAAATCATAAGTAAACTGAACCAACAGTGTAATAACAAAAAACTATAGCTGAAACCCCAGTACAAGGTGTGTGGTGTTGTTGCTGTGATAGGTTCCAGCGAGGCTAAACACTTCGGCGCGCACCTGATATCTGTGCGTGCATGCGAAAAAATGCCAAGTGTGTGGGTGGGGTCTCAGGAATCACGGGAAGGTACAGATTGTACACGCGTACCCTATCCCCCCCCCCCACACGCGGTCATCTCCGTTTCAGTGTGACTCACGTCACTATACTGATTCGTCAGTGTTACTTGTAAAGAAACACGCAAAATGGTCAGTGTGACAAGGTAGGATATACTGAAATTTCAGTGCAAAATTGAAGCATATGCTGAATTTTCAGGGAAAACGAAAATCACAGCTACAAAATCAGCGTAATCAGCGTGTTTTACGCTGATATCTGAGGGCCTGGACCCGAGTCTTCTAAAAAATATACCATTTAATTATGCCCCCCAGCCTTTTTAGGGGTGATTATCATAAGACCCTAGGGTCTTATATACGAGGGATTACGGTACATTCACTTACATTCAAGTGTTTGTAGACCACTAAATCGAGATCTTCCCACCAATTCCTTTTACAACCCTAACAAGGTCCTCCATATCGACATGAATATCAGAGTTTTTTGTTCCATTCCCATGCACAAGGTGATACGAATGGTGGCAAATGTGAGCCAAAAAGTGGTAACAGTTGTTGTCGAAAGCTTGTGGTCGAACCTCCACAACATGACTTTGGGACGGCATGAAGACCATGTTGGTCATAAGAGCACCATGAGGGGAAATGAAGAGGCGAGCACGGTTGAACAGACGCTTTGCGTCAAGGACTGGGAGGTTGCCTCGAAATAGCTGTGGAGAGGGGAGAGGGGAGAGGGAGAGGGAGAGGGAGAGGGAGAAGGAGAGGGAGGAGGAGAGGGAGGGGGGAATGAGAAGGAAAGCACGCGAGGGAGAGGGTGGGGGAGCAAGCAGGGTGCAGGAGATTGGAGGTGGATTAAAGCCCAGCCCCGAATTACAGAGAAGCGCTCACAAACTGGGCTCAGTTTGTGTCTCGCCCCTATTGGGTCCAGGGCGAAAGGGTTTCGGAAGTATTCCGAACCTCCAACTGCCTGCTTTCCCAAAGCTGATTCTCCCTCGTTGACTGTGTTGAGCAACTCGGGTGTTGCTCTTTAAAGAGACGACAAGGGATGGACGGTTGAAGACATGACAGGTGATTTCATTGATCAACAGATTGCCACAGGTGAGAAATGGCAGGTGGCGGGGAATAGGGGACTCGAAACGGGAAAGAGGAAGACGAGGGGCGGGCAGGAAGGGAAGGGGTGAAGAAGAAAGGCAGGGAAGGCTGGTGGCAAAAAATAGGACAAGGTCTGTGTCTGAAAAAGAATGCACATGTTTAGAAGCAAAAACAATGCAAACTATAAGACGAGCTAAAAAAGAGGTGTTTTGGCAATACCTGCACTGCACTCAATATTAGGAGAGGAGGGATAGGAGGGAGACGTGCACAGCGATCTAGAGCTGACTAAATATATTGCTACAGTGTTCTGAGGAGAAACTATTAATTCACGGAGAGAAGGCTTACCACAATGCGATCGCCGGGAAAGATATTATACAGCTCCTGCAGCAGTTGCGAACGGCCAAGAAAAACACTCACTGTGCATGTGTGTGGTCTCACTCACTCACCACAATGCGATCCCCGGGGAAGATATTATACAGCTCCTGCAGCAGTTGTGAACGCCCCACGATGCGACGAGTCGTGTCCCTCTGACCCACCACCACTATCCAGTCCGAAGGCAGGCTTCCGTTCCCACTCCCACTCGCACTCCCATCACCGACCAAACTGAAGCTTCCATTCACCCCACTCCTCGTTCCGTCCCCGGTCCCGATCCCGTCATTTCCAGCACCACTTGACCGTGCATCTTCAAGAGGTTGTGGGGCAAGGTATTTGTCACGGAGATGTGTGATGAGAGCAGCAGACGGCCGGCCGCACTGCGCCTGTGCGGGGAGGTAGAGCCTCCTCACAAAGTAAAGAGTGTCGTCTGGGATGATGTGAATGTTCAGAGAAGATTCGGGCACGTCGACGAGCGCAAAGAGGTGTGTGTAGAGCTCCTGCAGTTGCCGCACCACGACGGGGATAGGCGAGACGGTAGCGGAGGAGGAGGACGAGGAGGAGGAAGAGGAGGAGGTAATAGTGCTGGTAGTAGCGTTGAGGAGGAAAGGGCGGAGGAAGAGCAGCGAGGGCATGACTTCGAGCATGGTGTGGTAGAAGTTGGGCCCGTTCCAGTATGCGAGGGACACGAGGTGGTCAAAGACGTACACTGTGGTGGTGCCCCCTGTGTACACGCCCGTGTCGAGAGGACAGGACCTGGGGGGAGTGGACGGGAGGAGGGAGACGGGGAGGAACGGTGCAAGGAGGGGGAGGGGGAGGGGGAGGGGGAGGGGGAGGAGGAGGGGGAGGGGGAGGGGGAGGGGGAGGGGGAGGGGGATGTGGAGGGGGAGTGGGGAGAGATGGGAAGGGGAGAGACGGGAAAAGATGGAAAAGATGCTGAGACGTCTCAAAAGAAGTAAACGCGGTGAAACAGGGACTTGTGGTCCCTGGGGCGTCAGGAGGCAAGGGAGACGAGGCGGTCTAGGACGTAAACCATGGTGGTTCTCCTCGTTTAGATGCCCGTGTCGAGAGGACAGGACCTGGGGGGGGAGAGAGAAAGCAGAGAAATGGGCCTTTGTGGTGCCTGGGGTGTAAAGGCAAGAGAGATCTACAATCTACGAAAAAGGATGGGGAGACGAGGCGGTCAAAGAAGTAGACTGTGGTGGTGGTTCCCCCCGTTTAGATGCCTGTGTCCAGAGAACAGGACCTGAGGGAGGAGAGGAGGGGGGCAGGTGGAGGGGAAGGGGAAGAGGAGGGGGGTAGAAGAGAGGAGGTGCAGGTGGAGGGGAGGGGGGAGAGGAGGGGGAAGAGGAGACGAGATGGAAAAGGTGTTGAGAGAAGCAGGCACTGGTGGTGGTGCCTGGAGTGCAGAGGCGAGGGAGACGAGGCAGTCAGAGACATACGCCGTGCCGTGGTGGTGCCCCCTCTGTCGACGCCCCTGTCGAGAGGACCGGACCTGAGAGGAAGAAGGGGGAGGGAGAGGGGGAGTGGGAGGGGGAGGGGGAGGGGGAGGGGGAGGAGAGGGAGGTGGAAAGGGAGGGAATTGACGCAAGCACCTTACAAACTAATGGGCTCAAGAAGTAGAAGTAGGCGCCCTTCACCTTACCTGCCTCGTACTTTCTAGCCCGTGCAGGGCGTACATAGGACATCCAGATTTATCACACAAACACATACACAGCAGCTCAGCTGCACTGCACGCAGCATGCACACCTGCAGAAGAGCCCGTGGCGGTAGTAGTATGTGGCGTCTCAAAGCAGGAATCTAGCATAGCAGAACACAGCACACACCCACACACAGCTCCAGCTCCACACTTGGCACACCTGCAGAAGAGCCAGTGGCGGTAGTAGTATGTGGCGTCGAACACAGCACCCCTGTCGTTCAGAAACACATTCTCCAAAAGAAACACCTGTAGTGGGAGGTTGTGGATGGGATGGGACGGGATGAAGGTAAGTTGTGGTAATAAGTTGGGGTATGATGCTGTGGAGGGATTTTCTCTCGAATAACAAAAGAGCCGGTGGCGGTGGTAGTAGTATGTAGCGTCCAACACAGCACCTACCACCACCTACTGTCGTTGAGAATCACATTCTCCAGGAGAATGCGATTGATGGTTGTCGATAACCCAGAATGATCGTTGGGAGCAGGTAACATTTGAAAGTGGCTGGATAGAGGAAAACTTAGGAGAATTTCGAAAACGTTTTTTTTTTTTTTTTTTTTTTTTTTGCCATTATCTTTTTCTTTCTTTCTTTCCTCTGTTAGCATTCCAAAAAACCTCCGGATGGATGAATAGGTGGAAAATATGTCATGGGATGGCTGGAAACGTCCCATACCATAACATAACGTCCTCTTGAGCAGCAATTAGGGATTCATCTGAGGCGCCTCAGAAAAGGACGCTCTCCAAGTAGCCTCCCCACACGCCTTTCTTCAGTGGTATCCCCAGCCCGTCTCACCTGAGAAGCGAAAGGCCTCTTTTCTGTGACGCCCCAGAAACAAACGCCCTCTGAGTAACCTCCCACAAGCCTCACCTAAAAACCTTCCCCTCTTCACCAAAGCTGAAAAAGGCCTATTACCTGAAGCACATCTGTGTGTAGTTGGGGCGAGATTTGAGGTGTCTCAACAATATCTCAAGCATCTCCGGAATGGACACACTCTGAGATGCCTCCCCACCTCCTGCAAGCCTCTTTCTACGGGTCTTTTCAGCCGGCCTCACCTGAGCAGCAAAGGGCTCCGCCACAGCCTCGTCGAACGACGCTTGAGTCTGCACCGCAGCGACATTGTACGGGTAGGGCGGCACGGCGGACGCAGCAGCAGCAGCACCATTGCTTGCAGAACCATCAGAGGCGTGGTTGAGCGGAGGAGTGGACACAACATGCTCCCTGTCAACCAGCGGCGGGTCAGAGGAGCAGGCAGAGATCGGCGACGCCTGGCGGCGGGAGGAGGCGCAAGGGGAGAATGTGGGGCAGGTGGCAGCAGAGGTGTTGCAGTGAAGGCCCTGGTGGTAACGAAGGTCTAGGAGCTCTAGATTGCTGAAGATGATTTCGGGGATCCAGAGAGGGACTTGGGCGCCGTTGGCTAGTCCGCGGATGCTTGGGTGCTCGTTGTCGGAAGGAGGGAGGGTTGATGCTGCTGCTGGTGGTGGTGGTGGTGATGCTGGTGGTGGTAGTGTTGCCTGTGCTGCTGCTGCTGCTGCTGCTGCTGCTGCTGCTGCTGCTGCTGCTGCTGCTGCTGCTGCTGCTGCTGCTGCTGCTGGTGCTGCTTTGTCTTTTGGTCTTGCTGTTGCTTGTGCTACTGCGGCTTTGTCTGCTGCGGCTTTGTCTGCTGCTGCTTTGTCCGTTGCTGCTTTGTCTGTTGCTGCTTTATCTGCTGCTGACGTGGCAGCTGACGTGCCACCTTCTGCTGCTATCGCTGCAGGATTCATCATCTCCATCTCCATCTGCTCCTCGAACTGTGCCACGTGTCCCAGCACATTCTCCTCGGGCCAGTCAGCAGTGACGTGGCACACCTGCGTGTATGCATCACCAAGCCACGTGGTCATGGAGAATCAAATAGTTGGACTTCATAACGGAGATTCTCCATTCATATATGTATTGTTTTGTTTTCTTTTTAAAAATAGGCCGCCAAGAAACAGGTTAGCATCCATAAGACGAACATCAGACCAACATTAGACGGACACAGAGACAGCAGAAACGACAAGATAGACACGGAAGACAGAAAAGATGACAGAAGCGTCAAAGAACGAAGGTACGCGAGGGATATGAACCAAGGGCGAGAGGAACTGAGGTCAAATAACGGGTTTTGAGCGACATCAAGAACCGTCTGTATGGAACTCTGGCTAGGGGAGGAGAAGAATGGGAGGGGAGGGGAAAGGAGAAAGGGAGGGTGAGGAAGAGGAGAAGGAGGGGGAGAAAAGTGGGGGGGGGGGGAGGGGGAGGGGGGAGGGGGAGAGGAAAGAGTTTCTGGGGGGGTAAGGACGAGGAAAGGTGGCAGGAATGTAAGGGTGTGGGGGAATGGACGAGAACAAACGGGTTGGGTGGGGGTGGGAAGGAGGAGAGCGAGGAAGGGGGTATGGGGGAGAAGAGAGTGAGAGAGAAAGAGAAGCAGCAGCTCACATGCACGCTTAGAGCCAGCAGCAGAACCATTGACATAACCAGATGCCGCTTATCCATCCCTCCGAAATGCGCCGGATATTACTGCGTGCGTTTCCGAGCCAATACGCTTTCCGGTTAGTGCGGCTTGCTGTGGCTCATTCGCGCTCTACTAGTCATTCACGGCTTCGCATGAATTTCACTCTGGTGGTTAAAACGCGTACGGAGTGTAAGGCAGGCGGATCGAGCTACTTCGGAGAATGAGGAATGAGTGGTAAACGGGTTCGTCCACTGGACCTCCCAAGGTTCCCGACGTCCGTCAGACTGACGGTTTGCTCGACGTCTAGTGAAGCAAAACCTACTAGGTTAGTAGCCCAAAACGAGTAAAGATACGCAAGAAAATGTGGTTTGGGTGACAAGGGCGCATAATTTCTATCAGATGTTGAGGTCAATGTGTGACCCTCCAGATTCGCATTGGTCAAGAACAAGACGTGACAAGGCAAAACGAGGTCCAAGGGAGTGGCATCTTGGTGCCGGCCGCAGAATGCTGTTATTGGTGTGAGATTTTGTTTCTGTAGATGAAGTTTAGCTGAAATTGTTTAAGTTCAAGATTGTGTTCCCCCTAATTGAACGCGTCCGCTCTAGGCGAGTATGAAGGATCTGTTCACTTATCTGTAAGCTCCTTCGTATTGCAACCGTTTCGTAATCTGTGCAGCGTGCATCAGTTGGAGGTCGTGAAAGAGCCTTGAGAAGTGCGATTTCTTTATACAAGTCGAAAAGATTGACGTGCAAAAAGAATCCCGCTGGATATCTTTGTTCGCACCCCACTCAGTTACTGGGTCGTCTGATTGTTTCGTTGCAGGAATTAAATTCACTCTATGTAACAGCGAGGATCGTTTCGATAGGACAGTGCCGATGTCGAGTTCCTTCGCGAACTTTCAGGTGATGATCACAATAAAGTCGACTCTGCAAGGTGTACCGGGTCTGAAAATGATCAACACAAAATACTTATCCAGGCTATCCAAATAACCCTGAGGATCAGCAGTTGCTCCCTCCTATTCCACTCTCTGACACCACGTGTCCTGGAGTTCGCTCCTTCCCACCAAGTGCCTTATCAGTTCACGGAGCGCTGCGCCATGGCTTCGATAGTGATCAGAGATGCTTGTGCCGTTACTGCTGCGACATCGGTCGTTGCGGTGCCGCGTCCCCGCACAAGCAGCAAACCCGCGACTTCAGTGGCTTTCCCCCGGACCTTTCTTAGCGGAGGTATAGATTAGAGAATGCTCGAAAATGTTTCACCTGCAATGCAGCGTAGTCCTGTGTCCTCGGTACTAGGTAGCCGGCGAGTCGTTCCTTCGTTTGAGGCTTACTGCAGTTTGAGAAGTTCGCTTCAAAGATATCCCGTCGCGTCAGTTTGATTCTACGGCTTTGACACTCGCCAGTATATAATCGTTCACTATCGGCGAAGATTTGCTAGATACGATTTCACTCCACCTCTGCATTGTTGTGACATCCCGTGCATTGGCATGCTCATGCATTGGCATGCTCATGCATTGGCATGCTCATGCATTGGCATGCTCATGCATTGGCATGCTCATGCATTGGCATGCTCATGCATTGGCATGCTCATGCATTGGCATGCTCATGCATTGCCATGCTCATGCATTGCCATGCTCATGCATTGCCATGCACATGCATTGCCATGCATTACCATCTCTACCATCATTTTCCGTAATTTCCATGCCATTTCATGGTAAACCAGATTGCATTTCACTCACCCCATCGTCCCTTTCCATACTTCCCTTTACCCCGTTTTCAATTACCTCACTTCCCTCGATCCATCACACTCCGATATACCCCCACGCCCTCGACCGCCCTCGGCCGCCCTCGCCCGGCACAAGCAGCAGCGTCCCATAGTGACAAGGCGCTTCCCGAGTTAATCCAATAATCCGATAACCACTGTCTCCTAAAAACATTTCCTTGATGTATCATGCTCTGATTTTGTTCCCTAACCCCTCCGCAGGTACGAGCAGCAGCAGCGCTGGCAGCAGGTCGAGGCAAACGCTGAAGGGACACATGGCAGCAGCAGGTGCGCGCTCGGCTCCTGCAAGGCGATCCATGGCTGTGCGGGCCAGTGCTGAAGCGACCAACGGTGCCAGCGAGGTAATCCCAAGAAGTGTCCTTACATTGTGGTGGCTTCCAGTTTCGATGCCTTTGAATGCAAGGCGATTGGTGGCTGTGAAAGAATGACCAAAAACAAACAAACAAACAAACAAACAAACAATACAAAACAAAAAAACTCCTCGCACTGTGTCTGTGAGGTTCCTCAGAGGTCACCTCAGAAATTGAGGCTTCACAAAAACCGCTTGGCTCACACGTGTATGTCCCTGCCTCCCTCTCCCTCCGTTAACCATTTATCCTAGCTCACTCTCTTACCCCTATCCTGCCTCTCTCCTCCCTCTCTCCTCTTTCTCTCCCCCCTCTCGCCACCAGGTGGTTCCCCCTCGCAGTGTGTCTGTGGTGCTGCTGGCAGGCGGAGTGGGCAAGCGCATGGGGGTATGTACCTACCTACCTCCACTCGACGCTCACTCGTCTGAAGCTTCATTCTACTCTCACCTGAGCCTGCTCTCACACTCACCCTGAGCCTGCTCTCACACTCACCCTGAGCCTGCTCTCACACTCACCTGAGCCTGCTCTCACACTCACCTGAGCCTGCTCTCACACTCACCTGAGCCTGCTCTCACACTCACCTGAGCCTGCTCTCACACTCACCTGAGCCTGCTCTCACACTCACCTGAGCCTGCTCTCACACTCACCTGAGCCTGCTCTCACACTCACCTGAGCCTGCTCTCACACTCACCTGAACCTGCCTTTGCACTCATCTGATTGTGGTTTCAAAATCAGCTGAAGCTGTTTCCTCACACGCTCTCCTGAAGCTCACTGTAGAACTGGATCCTATCGTGATCCTCTTTTCAGGATGAACTTCGCAAACTCTGGATGTTACAACTCTCCCTCTCAAGCTAACTGTCTGCTCCCTTCCTCACTCACCCACCACCACTCCAGATCAGCCTGCTTACTCCCTGCAAACCTTCTTCTCACTCGTATTTGATTATGTGTTGTCATTTTCTGATCTGATCAAATACTTTCTCATGAATCTGTCCTCTCCTCTCGCACACCCTTTCCGTGGCTTATTCTCCTCCTCCTCCTCCTCCTCCTCCTCCTCCTCCTCCTCCTCCTCCTCCTCCTCCTCCTCCTCCTCCCCTTCCTCTCCCTTCCTCTCCCCTTCGTCTCCCTCCCGCACACTGTCCCTCCCTGCCTGCGCGCCTGCATTGCCCTGCTGTTGCCCCCACCCGGCCAGGCCAATATGCCGAAGCAGTACCTGCCGGTGTGCAACCAGCCTATAGCTCTCTACAGGTGAGGGCGGGTGGCTTGGCGGAATGGGAGGGTTGGGGGATGATGGAGTCAGGTCTGGGTTAGAGGAAGAATCTCGGCATGGGCATGTGCATGTGCATGTGCATGGGCGTGGGCATGGGCATGGGCATGGGCATGTGCATGTGCGTGGGCTATTCTTCTCACTGAGCAGAATTTCCACTTTCACCCGGCTTCTCGTTGCTTCTGCTAATTGCCTTCTCACATCTTTCCCCACCCCCTTCCCTCTGCTCGTTCACACCCCCCCCTCTTCTCGCAACCCTCCCTCTGCTCACCCCCTCCCTCTGCTCACACCCCTCCTTATACAACCCCCGCTCTCCCCACATCCCCCGCCACCTCCCCCCATCGCCCTCAGCTTCTTCACGTTTGCGGCCATGCCTGAGGTGAAGGAGATCGTGGTCGTTGCCGACCCCAGCTACCACGACCTCTTCCAAGGTACCACCACTTCTCCCCATCTGCTGCTGCTGCTGCTACATGGTCTGCTCGCGTTACCAGACAGCTCAAAACTCGTTTGGAACAAACCAAGACTCGACTCTCCAGCTACGATGACTTCTCTTCCCAGTGTCCCAGCGAACGCCACTCCCTTTTACTTGCACTCTGCACATCTGGTGCCTTTTGAGTCGACTCAAAAGTTACCAAGACTCGACTCTCCAGCTACCACCATGACCTCTCTTCCCAACGTCCCAGGGAACGCCACTCCCTTTTACTTGCACTCTGTACACCTGGCTAGTGCTACATGGGAAGACTGCAGTATGATGGGGCCGGTGGTGGTTACTGCAGATTCCCGCTACCGAATCCTTGCCACCTTCCCCCATTTCCTTCTGTCCCTTCCCCCCATCTCCTGTCTCTCCTCTCCCCTGTTCCCCTCTCTCTGTGCGTGCATCAGAAGCCCTTGCTTGCATCACAACACCTCTCAGTGCTGCTGTTCCTGGCAAGGGGCGTTCTTTCCTGATCATTAGCCTCTCCTCCCTCCCCCCCCCCCATCACCCCTCTCCTCTCTCCTACTCGCTCTTCCCCCATCAGAGGCCTCTGCTCGCATCTCGATTCCTCTCAAGTTTGCCCTGCCCGGCAAGGAGAGGCAGGACTCGGTGTTCAACGGGCTGCAGCAGATCAGCGCTCACTCTGCTCATCGCTCTCTCTCCCCCGCTCCCTCTCACGCACACAACCTTCTGCTGGTTGTGCCGAAGCTGACATACCCTTGAAAAACCGATTCACAGGCAGAACCCCTTTTATCACTCCCCTCTCCCCCTCTCCTCTCCTCTCCTCGTCTCTCTCCCCCCATCAGAGGCCTCTGCTCGCATCACGATCCCACTCAAGTTTGCGCTCCCAGGCAAGGAGAGGCAGGACTCGGTGTTCAACGGGCTGCAGCAGATCAGCGCTCACTCCGCGCTTGTTGCCGTGCACGACTCAGCTCGCCCCCTTGTCACTCCCAAGGACACCCTCCAGGTCAGCAGCACAGCTGTTGACTTCTGCTGACTTGACTCCTGTTGACTCCTGTTGACTCCTGTTGACTCTGCCTGTTGGCCTCTGTAGACTCCTGTTGACACTGTTCACTACTATTGTCTCCTCTTGACTCTGGGCGACGTGGTCCGTGCCTGCTGTTGTTGACCTTGGTTGCATTCAAATAGCCCTGGTTCGTTCTTGATTATCGTGATCTACTATTGTTAACTCTGGTTGACTCTGGTTGACTCTGGTTGACTCTTGTTACTGTCTCCCTTTCCTCCTCCTCTCATCTCCTCTCCTCAGGTCTTTTCTGATGCCATGACTTATGGGGCTGCTGTGTTGGCTGTGCCATCCAAGGCTACCATCAAAGAGGTATATAAAAAAACAATATCCATCAATAAACAAGATATCGCGCCTATTTTCAAAAGTAATATTTCAGATCAGGCTACTAGCGTTCTCTTCCCAACGCCACTGCCACATGCTCACTGCAACATGCTGGCAGTCGAGTCGGTCGGCAAGGGCTGGGTGCAACGCATGCACGCAGGGCCGATGGCCGCTCCTGCTACTGTGGAGGATGCGTCAAATTTCAGTTGGAAGGGTCAACACTCCTATTAACTCCTTCCCCTTCCCTAACCCCTCCTCCCCCCCTCTCTCCCCCCTCCCCCCTCCCCCCTCCCTCCTCCACATTCTGCTCCCCTCACAGTCGGACGGCAAGGGCTTTGTGCATCGCACTCTGGACCGGCGGCTGCTGTGGGAGATGCAGACGCCGCAGGTGATGCGCCCACAGCTGCTGCGCGACGGCTTCGAGCTCGTCAACAGGTGTGTGGGCTTGTGGGGCCAGGGGTGGGGGTGACAGCATTGGGTGGGTTCCTCTTCTGAAATTGCTCAACAGGCGCAGGTGGTGCGCCCACAGCTGCTGTGCAATGGCTTCGAGCTCGTCAACAGGTGGGTGGGCTTGTGGGGGCGGGGGTGGCGGTGACAGCACTGGGTGGGTTCCCACTTTGATATCGCTCAACAGTCGCAGGTGATTCGGCCACAGCTGCTGCGCGATGGCTTCGAGCTCGTCAACAGGTGGGTGGGGGGGGGGGGGTGGCGGGGGGGTGGGGGGGGGGGGTTGGTGGCAGGGCAGGGACAGCACTGGGTGGGTTCTACTTTTGAAACTGCTCAAAGGTCGCATGTGATGCGGCCGCAGCTGCTGCGAGAGGGTTTAGAGCTCGTCAACAGGTGGGTGCGCTGGTGATTGGTGCAGCAATGGGAGGGGCTGCTTTGCTGTAGCGCGGGTAGTGAACGATGCAGGAAGGGCAAAAGGTGATGCGCCTGCAGCTGCTGGTGGGGGTGGCTGAGGCAGCAGTATGAGTGGCCGCTGACACATGCTGCGAACACATGCTGCGAACACATGCTGCGAACATATGCTGGAAGAGCAACAGCTCAACCTTCCCTCTGTCTCTACCTTTTTGAGCGAGCGGGTGGTTCAATCAGCCCGTTCCTCCCTCTCTCTACCCCGCGACCACTCACGGTGCACTGAGGCACTCTACAAGGAGGGCTCTGTGTCTGACAGATGAAGTGTCTTTTTGAGAGGATCTACCTGAGTGAGTGAGTGAGTGAGATGAGTGAGAGTGAGTGAGTGGTCTAATCAGCCCGTCCTTCCCTCTGTTTCCGTGACCCCTGACGGGCGCACACCCAACAGGGAGGGTCTGGGGGTGACAGACAGATGATGTGTCCATTGTGGAGTATCTCAAGCAGCTCGTTCCTCCCTCTTTCTCTAACCCCCACGGCACACACCCCATAGGGAGGGCCTGGAGGTGACAGATGACGTGTCCATTGTGGAGTATCTCAAGCAGCCTGTCAAGATCACTGAGGGTGCCTACACCAACATCAAGGTATGACATGGGTACATTCTGGGATTTTATCCCCCTTCCCGCCCCTCCCTACTACCCCTCCTTCCTCACTCTCTTCAACTTTCTTTCCGTTTCCAGTTCGCGTCGCACTCTCCCTCCTCCCCGCTCCCCCTTCCCCACTCTGCCCGTTCACCATCTCCCCTACACCTTTTCTGTTGTTGTTGTCGTCTATAACTCCTTGTTTGATGCTCGGTTGGTCACCGGTGTTAATGCCTATCATCTTGTTTGATAGTTGTCTCCGAATCTTGTTCCTGTCCCAGGTTACAACTCCCGATGACTTGTTGCTAGCGGAACGCATTATTGGTTGCTCCATAGAGAAATCCCCTGTTGCAGCAGCTGCGTAAGCAGCTGAGCTACACTCACTGCAGTTTGCTTCGGCAAAGCAGATTACATGGCATGACCACATAGACATCCCTTTTTGCCGTCTTGCTATTGAATGAATTCAACATGCCATAGGATGTGCTACATACGATAATTAGGGTTTGCGTAACTGTGATTGTGTATCTAGGATACTTGTAAGGAAATTTCCTTTTCCTTACTTCACGCCCATGCTTACCGCGTACAAGACCATTCCTGCCATCGGCACCCAAACAGTGGAACGTTACCTGCTCTCGACACTCGCCTCGACTACGACTCCTGCCACTGCTCACGATGCGACCCAACCTCACGGTTCGGTTGGTAACTCGCGCTCCGGACCTCCGCCTCGACATATCCCAACCTCGGCGCTAGGCCAGTAGCGCACCCCAATTCCTCGCGTTACCGTTACCACTCTAGTTCGCTATATATTATTCGTTCATGCCTTCTCTCATTGTATTGTTTTGCTTAGATAGTGCAATTCTCGCCTGCTCGCTCAATTGCACTCAAATTGCTGCATGCCTCCGTGGACTTCCCTGGTTTTCTTGGAGCCCCCCCAGGGCAAATCTGGCAACAGCTCAGGTGTGGGTTGACAAGCTGGGCCGAGTCATTTTGTACATCGGAAGGTGATTGATGCTATACAACCCAGTATGCAACAACAGAACACGGCCAATAATTGTGGGCATGCTAGACTCCTCTTCCTTCACCCGACGTCGTTGATTTCGTTCGTAGATGGTTTGAATGGAAGCTCGGAGGAATGCACAAGCTTTCGGATGGATGGCGGCGACGACGGTGTGCAGCACAAGCACGCAAAACTCTTGGTGTGGAACCGTGCCGTGCGGCACAAGCTGCACAACGCCCTTTGATTTGTCTCCCTCCTGCCCGAGTCCAACTTTCTACCAGAGCTCATGAATTTTGGTCTGCCCAAACAAAGATGCTCGGCTCATGAAACAACCTTGGCGTCCAAACCAAGGCCCGGTTCGGCAGGCATTAAAAAAACGGTTTCCCCGGTTAGGCTACAGTAAACCGACCACCCTGGAACCTTCTTCGATAAGCGCGTAAAAGGTTATCTAGGCTCGATATAAGCGGATCATCGCCGAACCAGACAATAATGGAATGCCAGCCGAACACCCCCTTTGACGCTGGCATTTTCTACCAGAGGAATCTTCCTCGAACCCTATTTCCCAGGCAAATGGTCCATTTTCTGATACGCCGCACCATACTGCCTCGAGACCCCCCCCCACACGGGGTATCAGTGATTCGGGGCAATCACACATTGCCCTGAAAAAAACAAATCCCGGTCTTTCATGCCCCTCATTTTGCCCGCTGGGAAATCGCACATCACCAACACACCTTCACTAACACATCGAACACACAGATTCTCTTGCCCGAATTTTTTCGACGTCCACCACTGGTTTGCATGGCTGCCCGTGCTGCCAGTACAGTGATTCTGAGCTCCATCAGCGCAGCTGCATGCGAGCTTCTGCGAAGTGTCATTTTCGGTTGATGCCGTTAATCCAGGCCCATTTAATGCCAACCGAACATCGGGCCCATTCTTCCGAAGTTAAACTGCAGCTACAGTCGCAGCTGTTTCGAGGGGCCATTTTTTGGGGGCCCGTTAAAAATGCCCAAAATGGCCATAATGGCCATAATGCCTGCCGAACTGGGCCCAAGCTACCCAGAAAACTCCTGCTTCGCGACTCGGAAAGACGTCGGCCACAATTTCGATGATGTCGAATTCGTACCGCGATTTTCACCCCCTCCCCTCCCCACACATGTACTTCCTTGCTGCCTCCCTCCCATCCCACAGCCATTTCTCATCGGACCAGCTTCGCGCTCTTCACGAACAACAAACACGATCAAACGAGTGGACATTTCTTTGACGTTTGGCACACGGTCCTCCCTCCCTCCCCTCACACCTCATTCATATCCATGTCGATTGAACTGCTACGAAACGAGAGTGTCGAGAGATCCGCAACTGCTACCTTTGACTGAACCGAGCCCGTTGTGCATAGTCTTTCGTCACGCGACTGCGACGTCGCCCCCACACCCTCGTACAAATTCCACGAATTAATCGCAGCGAAGTCCTCAAGTACCATCTTGCTGCGCTCAATCGTCGCGCTTCTGTAATTCACTACTACCGACGCACTGCAGAATGATGTATCGCCGTACAAGCGAAAACACCGTGCAAGACTCTGCTGACCTGAAGATATTCTTTGCACTAGCAATTCCCAACACTTCCTGACCAGTACATAGAGTTACAACTGCCCAATTCCCAACTGCTTCCTTGTCCAATCAATCTAAAACCGCTGAGGAAAAATCTCCTAAACGCCTGTCACGCAGCCGCCAGAAAGACGCGCAATCGGCGCCGACAGAGTACCAGCTAGTAGCCAGCTAGTTCAAATAACCTCAACCCCTTGCACGGAACGGTTGCTCCCACCTAGTCAAATCCAACCAGCTAACGAGCTCACCGACTGACCACCTAAACCCTCTGGCAGAGTACCGAGCAACACGCCACCATGAACAATCTGTGGACCCAGACGTGGGACGTCTCTCGAAGCTTCGCTCCTCCGCCCAGGCCGGGGGCCGCGGGAGGACCGGGAGCATCAGCCGTCGCGCCGGCAGGCCCGGATTTCACGGCGTTCAACGCGGAGGTGGCGGCGATCGAGGAGGAGATCAAGAAGGCGAACAATGACGTCAGAGAGGTGCGTAACGCACACAACCTGACGTTACAGGAGGCGCGCGCGGAGAAGCTCGAGGAGCTCCGGAAAGACGCAGCGCGGCCGTCCGCGCAAGCCAAGAATCGCACGAGGAAGATAAAAAAGATGCTGGAGGAGTTGAAGCGGAACAACGAGGCGATTCGCATGCGGCCCGGAAGCGGTCCGGGAACCGCGGAGGATCGCCACCGGACGACTATCACCATTGGATTGGCGGAGCGTCTGCGCGGGCTGCACCAGCTGGTGCTGGTGGTCGAAGAGGAGATTAATAACGAGAGCCGGAAGAAATTACAGCGGCATTTGTTCATGGTGACGGGGAAACCAGCGACCGACGAGATGCTGGATGAGATTCTCGAGCACGGGCAGAGCGAGGATGTGCTGAAAAGGGCTGTGCAGATGCAAGGCCGCCATGCGCAAATCAACGAAGACCAGCTGCGAGACGCTGTCGTGGACATTGACGAAAAGATGGACGTCGTGTTACAGGTTACCAAGGAAATGGTGGAGCTGCAGAGCATGTTCTTGGATATGGCGATTATGGTGGAGGCGCAGGGAGAGTATCTGAATCAAATCGAGGCTCACGTGGGGGATGCGGTGTCTCATGTCGTGGACGGGAACAAAGATCTCGAGAAAGCCGAGAAGATTCAGCGCAACACGCGTCGCACGTACTGGTTGATCGCCTCCATTGTGTTAATCATCGCCTCCATCATCCTCGCGTCCGTCGCGTCGCTCATCGTGTCGGCGACCCCGGAGAGCTCGCGTGGTGTCGCCGTGGGCGTGGTGATTGTTGTGGAGATTGCGCTTATAGCGGGGGCTGTGCTTATATGCGTCATGACGAAGCCCTTCACTACGCTCTTTTCCTTTAAGTAGAAGACCGATGCATAACCACAAACCAGCGTAAATATTTCACTAATGCATCAGATGAAGCTCACTTATTTCCCGATGCTCCATTGGTGTGCTTAGGAGTCCAGATGGCTGGAAACGTCACCGTCCCATACAATGTGTTGCTGGTGAATATTTATGTGCGTCATTAGGGTTCGTGCTTCTCTGTTGAGTTGACGATTCCACATCAACACAGGTTAATCTCAAATAGAGCTACGTAATTGCTGCACACAAATTATGGCAGCTTGCATGAAATACTGAATAACGTAAACATAATTTTATCATCGTCGTATTAGGAAATGTAGTTGTCGCCCTAGCCAGGATCTCAAGTACCACAAATGTTTTGCAGTTGATGGTTGGAGCTTGGCTGCGATTGGTCGACGAGGTGCAAGGGGTGCAGCGAGGGGTGCGAAGGAAACTGAACTCGTTTGTGTGTGTCCGAACCTTGTAGGCATGGAGTTTGGTTCGGATCCGAAGCTAGAATGCCACAAATTTGCCGACAGTCTCATGTTTCTGAAATTGTTTTGCATTTGGTGCTGGGGCAAAAGCTTGGGAGTGTCGCACGCCAAACTGCCTAGCCAACCAGTCTACTTCGCATACAGAAACGGGGTAACTGAGCGTCAACTGTTTTGCAATTGATCCCAATTTCTCTTACTTGAGATCCTGGCTTTAAGCGCGTACGAACTCAAACCCAGTTTCCCAAACCCAGTCCCCATGCACCTTTCCTTATCCCTCCGCACTTGGCGGCGACTGTTGCGACTGTCGCCAAAACACTACGTACTTTCGCAGCACTGTTCCGCTCACCAATAGTCTTTCATGCACCGAACCTTGCTTCGAAGCGTTTATTTTGCGAGGCCAAAATTAGGCGTCCAAGGCAAACGGTCTAATTCTGGAATCAGCCAGCACTCCTCGTGTTTTAGCAGCTAAAATACGACCACCAGCCAGTTGCGAGGTGCCTGAATATCTGACGGCCAGCCGGTTATGGGGTCAAATTTATCCGTCCCCCAGGCGACTGCGGTCGCAACGGCCGTCTCCGTGTCAGCCGCGACCAACTTAGCGAGGAATGGGATATCCATAAAAAAATCTAGCAAGAAGTCCAGCGACAAATCGTTGGATGTGACGTCACAGAGCCCGAAGTCCCCGGGTTGGCCTTCTGATTGGACCTTCGATTCCGCCAATGGCGCGCCGCCGTCGTCTCCCCGCAAACAACGGCAGATCGTTCATGTAAGCTGTTTCCCTCTCACAGCTCTGCCGCTTCTAATCTGTCAATTCTTTCCGGAGAGAAAAGAGGCGCCTAAAAAAACTTTCGGGAGAGAAAGGACGTTGCATGGTGTTTTCTAGAAGAATCCATGCTGGTTCGTTGCTCCGCTAACGCACGCCTCGCCGCGCCACAGCTCCTTCCGTTTCGCCTGCCTTTTCGGAACACCCTTCCGTTTTCCGTCCCTCCCAGCAGCTCCCCTCCGCTCCCCATCCCTCCCCCATGTCTCCCCTTTCCTCCTTCCCCCTGCTTCTCTCCCCGCGTTCCATATCTTCTTACCGCGCTTCGTACAGGTGGGTGGTAGAGGCAACATTGTGGTTTCTCATTTCCCCCCTCGCTCCCCTCTCCTCCTTCCCATTCCTCAGATATTCGTGCCGCGCTTCGTACAGGTGGGTGGTAGAGGCAACATTGTGGTTTCTCATTTCCCCCCTAGCTTCCCTCTCCTCCTTCCCATTCCCCAGATAGTCGTGCCGCGCTTCGTGCAGGTGGTGGTGGAGGTGCCCAAGGGCAGCTTCGTCAAGCGCCACCCGGACAGCACTGTCTTGATTCCCTTTCTCTCTACCTTCTCCTCCCATCATTTCCCCCCGTTGCATTGCAGATCTTTGTACCTCGCTTCGTGCAGGTGGTGGTGGAGGTGCCCAAGGGCAGCTTCGTCAAGCGCCATCCTGACGGCGCCATTGACTACGTTGGCTGCGTGCCCTGCCCCTTCAACTACGGCTCCGTTCCCTCCATCCTCGCCCTGGACGGTACGACGTGGTACAGTGCGGTACGGTGCACTACGGTGTGGTACAGGTCTGTCTGTTGCCTGCATGTTGCACCCCGACTGCGCCATTGAATACGTTGGCTCCATGCCCTCCATCCTCGCCCTGGACGGTACAATGCAGTGCGGTGCTGTGCGGTACGGCATGGTAATTGTGTTGCCTCCTGCGTGGTGGTGATGGGTGTGTAGCATGCAGGCGCAGGTACCGTGCCCTGCCCTTTCTCGTGCCATGGCACATGGCAGGTGCACGCCATGCTACGGGTCATCAACGGCGCAAGGGGTGTCAGGTGCCACCCCTTTCTTTCCCCATTCTCTCTCCCCATCTCTTACCCCCTCCGCTTCTTTCCTCCCAAATCCTCGTGCAGGCGACCCACTAGATGCAGTGGTGTTGGGACCCTCCCTGCCGTACGGCCACCCGGGCACGTGGCAGGTGCATGCCAGGCTACGGTTCATCGTCTCGTGGGGGGAGGCACACCAGTGGAACGATAGGGTTCATCGCCTTTCCCCCCAGGATAGGCACATCAATCCTCTCCTCTTTCCCCACTCCCATTTTTCACACAACCCCAGGTGACCCGCTGGATGCAGTGGTGTTGGGACCCTCCCTGCCGTACGGCCACACGGGCACGTGGCAGGTGCATGCCATGCTGCGGTTCATCGACGGTGGTAAAGTGGATCACAAGCTCATCTGCTCGCAGACCGGCCCACCTGTTCCTCTTCCTCCCGCTCCTCCGCTTGCTTCTCCTCCCCCTCTTCCTCCCACGGAGAAGGGGAAGGGGGCGGGGAAGGAGGAGGGCAAGGAGGGAGAGGATAAGGGACCTGGGAGATGGACAGTGGAAGCACAAGGTTCCTTTCTTGATTCGCTCTTGACCAGATTGGTTCAGTTACAACCGAAGCGGAAGGTTTCCTGGAACAATGGTATTGGCAGCGGCAGCGGCAGCAGCAGGAGCAGGAGCAGCAGCGACAGCGGCAGAAGCAGCAGCAGAAGCAACAATGATGCTTGTAGGGGCACTTTGCAGCATGGCAAGGAGAACTGCACTGGTTCTCCCACCATCCCTGCCACGCCTGCCATTCGTGCCAATCCTACTTCTGCTCCTGCTCCTGCTCCTGCTGCTGCTTCTCCTGCTACTGCTCTATCTTCCTCCTCTCCTGCCTCTCCTCCGTCAATCCCCACACCACCATCCCCTCCTTTCGTACCTTCCTGTTCCCTCCCTCCTCCCAAAATCCCTTCAACTCCTGGGTCCGCACTTCTGACAAGGCCGTTGCCTTCTGAACAAGCACAAGCAGATGCAGCGCATTTTCCCTCCCCCTCTCGCCCCACGCCTGTTGCTAACCCTGTATCCTCATTACAAGCATCCTCGCCAGATCTGCCACAAGCCAACCCACCCATCATCTCCTCGCAAGAGAGCAGAACCCCTAATTTCCAGCCTTCCTCTCCCGTCTCTTCCTCCTCCCCCTCTTCCTCCTCCGTCCGCTCCTCTTCCCCAACCCCATCGATCCTGCCTGAAGCAGTACTGGCAGCAGCTGCAGCAGTAGCAGAGGTAGCAGCAGGCACTGCGAGCAGCCTCTTACCATCCAATCCCCTTCCCCATCCCCTTTCTCAATCTCAATCTCAATCTCAATCCGCTCAATCCAAATCCCCTGCACCCTCCATTCCTTCCCTGTCCCCAGCTCAAAACCATCACAAGTCCCAATCCCTAGCAGCTCCCACCACACCACCCACCTCCTTGTCCTCTTCCTCTTCCGCTTCCTCTTCCTCTTCCTCCTCCGCCAACCCGCTTACCTCCACTCTCCCTCTCCCGTCTCCCTCACCTCGCTCCCTGTGCGACTCACTCTCTCAATTGCTGCAAGCACCGCACTACACACCTCCACACCCCGTTTATCCACCCACCACCATTCTCATCCCTGTCTTCTCTCACCCAGGCTCTTCCACCACTGTACCCCACCCCACCGTACCTCAGCCCACCGCACTGTTTTCCACCTCTACTCCTCAAAGAACAAGCCTGGGGGTAGAAGAATCGTCAGTTGAACACTTAGCACTGTCAGCAGCAGCAGCAGCAGCAGCAGCAAGGGCAGGAGCTGCAGCAGGAGGAGGAAAGGATAGGAGGGAGAGGAGGGAAGGGAGTGGGTGCGAAGAGGCGGTTTTGCTACAAGTCGCAAGGGAGCGGGCCAGGCGAAAAGGTCTGGGGAAGCTGTTTCCGGTGGAAGGAGAGGAAGGGTTGCTAAGAAAGATTTCCCGTGTAGTCCGGGAGGTGGAGAGGTGTGCGGTTGGGAAAATTGAGGGCCTGATAGGTGCAGCCAAGGGGATGAAAGGTACTGAGGGTGATCAGGCAGAACGGAGGGATGGAAGCAAGGAGAGTGGGGGAAGTGAGATGAGGGAAGGTAAATTGGGAGGACAGGAGGACGAGGAGGCTGTACGGGAGTTGGAATGGCCATTGCAAGTGGAGCCGTTGCAGCCATCCAAGGCGTTGCAGATGTTGAGAGCGGTGCGATCAGGTTCCGATGTGCAACCTTCGGCTTCAGTTCCTGCTGTGGCGGTGCCTGCTGCTGCAGATCTAGTGTCAGTGGAGCTCTCTTTGAGGCAGTACCTCCTGCTGACTGCCTTTTTCAGAACCTATTCGTTGTTCAAGTCGGTTATTAATGCTGTTAGGGGAATCAAAGGAAAGACCTTCTTTGATGGGTGGGAGGTGGTTAGGTGATAAAAGAGCTAATAGAAATACTTTTTGGTGTTTGTCTGATAATGTCCTTGTCTGCGATTTAGACTCCAAACTGTTAATATCATTAGCCTGTGGTTGCAAGGAGGAAATAAAAGTATGTTGCTGCTGTACAAAACTTTATAGATAACGTGTGAAGTGTAGCTTTATACAATAACTTCCCCAGTTCTGTTGACATTATTGGTGGTCCGAACGACCAATAATTGTGGCCATACTGGACCCCCCCTTCCTGCACCCACCGTCGTTGATTTCGCTGGTACGTCGTTTGACTGGGAAGCTCGAAGAGAACGCGCAAAAGTTCGAACGAATGGTGATGAGGGTTTGGAAGCGTGCCGTGCGGCACAAGCTGCCCAACGCCCTATGATTTGTCGTCCGCCTGCCCGAGTCCATCTTCTACCTGTGCTCCCAGCTTATGAAAATCTGGTCTGCCGTGACAGTGAGGGACAGCTCGACTTTCAAGCTGCCCAGCGTTCTTCTCGCGATTCGGAACGACGTCGGATGCAATTTCGACGATGTCGAATTCATCCCTCCCAGCTCCTCGACTTTCCTTTCCCCACCACATTCCCTCACTTCTTCCATCCCTCCTCTCTACCCTCCCTCCCAAACCAAGGCAGCCTGAGTGCAGCACAGTCACCTCTTATCGGACTTACTTCGTGTTCCACAGAGTGCAGAATTCTTTGACAATTCGCACACGGCCCTCCCTCCCTCGCCTCACAGCTCATTCCTTTCCATTCGATTGAACTGCGACGAAACGAGAGTCGAGATCCAGATCTGCTTACGTTTGAATCATCTGAGCCCATTGTGTTCATCCATTTCGAAAAGGCCAGGAGTAATTCCAATTCGCACTCCCCCTACTCGCACCAATTCCACGAGTGATTCGAAAAGGCCAGGAGTACCATTGCGCACTTAATTGTCGCGCTTACACACTGCGGAATGCCCATCCTCTATGCAGACTAAAGACATTCTCTGCACAAGCCCTTCGCAGCTCTCCCTGACTTGTCCATACAACTAGTACTTACAACTAGAACTGCCTCTGTTGCCTTTTTTAACGATCTGGAGCCCGTGACGAAACAGCCTGTAAAATTCTATCAAGCAGCGGCCGGACAGCCGCACAACCGGCGCCGTCAACCTCGGATAACCAGCTAGTGCACACTGTGGCATTCTCGCACCCCCGCGCACGTCTCGATTGCTCTAGCCTAAACCGGTCCAAGCAGCCAAAGAGCTGACAGAATATCCAGCGAGCCAAACATCAAGTCGCCATGAACAATCTCTGGACCCAGACATGGGACGTGTCTCGAAGCTTCGCTCCTCCGCCCAGGCCGGGGGCCGCGGGAGGACCGGGAGCATCAGCCGTCGCGCCGGCAGGCCCGGATTTCACGGCGTTCAATGCGGAGGTGTCGGCGATCGAGGGGGAGATCAAGAAGGCGAACAATGACGTCAGCGATGTGCGGAACGCGCACAACCTGACGTTGCAGGAGGCGCGCGCGGAGAAGCTCGAGGAGCTCCGGAAAGACGCGGCGCGGTCTTCCGCGCAGGCCAAGAATCGCACGAAGAAGATTAAAAAGATGCTGGAGGAGCTGAAGCTGAACAACGAGGCGAATCGCATGCGACCGGGAAGCGGCCCGGGAACCGCGGAGGATCGCCACCGGACGAATATTACCGTTGGATTGGCGGAGCGCCTGCGCGGTCTGCACCGGCTGGTGCTGGTGGTCGAAGAGGAGATTCAGAACGAGAGCCGTAAGAAATTACAGCGGCATTTGTTCATGGTGACGGGAAAACCGGCGACCGACGAGATGCTGGATGAGATTCTCGAGCACGGGCAGAGCGAGGATGTGCTGAAAAGGGCTGTGCAGATGCAAGGCCGCGATGCGCAAATCAACGAAGACCAGCTGCGCGACGCCGTCGTTGACATTGACGAAAAGATGGACGTGGTGTTGGAAGTTACCAAAGGCATGGTGGAGCTACAGAACATGTTTATGGACATGGCGATTATGGTGGAGGAACAGGGAGCGTATCTAAATCGAATCGACGACGACGTGAATGCGGCAAAATCGCACGTCGTGACTGCGACAAAAGATCTCGAGAAAGCCGAGAAGATTCAGCGCAACACGCGTCACACGTACTGGCTGATCTTCTCCATCGTGCTGATCATCGCCGCAATCATTGTCGCGTCCGTCGCGTCGAATATCGTGTCCACGGTGCCGGAGAGCTCGCGCCGCGCCATCATCGGCGTGGTGGTGGTCGCGGAGATTGCGCTTATAGCGGGGGCTGTGCTTATATGCGTCATGACGAAGCCCCTCCAAACGCTCTTCACTTTCAAGTTCTAGTAGAAGACGGTCTTCTGTCCGTTCGCGGAGATCGCTAAGCTTGGCGTCTAAATAACAAGCAGCGTCGCTTCCAGATCAATAATCGCAACGACAGACCTGAAATTGCGGAAATTGCTCCAGTGTGGGTCGGGAACTACTGTGGTGTGGCTCTCAGATTTAGCGGCATCCTTCACGTGTGCACTTTCTGTTGTTTTCCTCTGTCCTTGTTATTTCTTCCTGTGTCATTGTTCTTCCTCTGTTTGTGTTCAGCTGTGCTACGTCCAGCACATTCGCGAATGCACTGTATCGCGATCCGCGAGGTGCCACAGTGTAAGGAATTTTCTCGAAATAATTGCGCGACGCGTCCGTTTTCGAATTTTCCTCAATCCTGTGGAGTATGTGCAATTATCAGAAAGGGGGGAACGTGGAGTTCCCTCAATTCGAAAACGGAAATGTGGAACTCCACGGGATTGAGATACCAGAAAGGGGGGAACGTGGTGCGAGGGTACTCCAAAGGATTGAGGAAAAATCTAAAACGGAACTCCACAGGATTGAGGAAAAATCTAAAACGGACATCTCGCAATTATTTCAATTTTCTCGCTATTCCTTACCGCGACCGTCCACATCGCGTACAGCAGCAGCCGTTGTTCGCCCGTTACTCTTACGGGGCTTCACCAACTTCGCGCGCACTGTTTCACCAAACCTTGCAGTGCTGGAGGAGCCGAGTCGGCCTACGCTTCTGGACTAGCCCGAAACTCGTGCTAGTGTAGCACTAGCTAGCTCGCATGCACCGCAATACCGTTTGCACATTTTCGCGTATAAGTATTCGCTCATGCCTTCGCTCATGCGTTGTACTCATTGAACACTCTAGTGCAATCATCGCTACCTCGATTCATTGCACCCGTAACACTTCGTTATCAGAGCCACTTTCATTCGGACCGCACATCTCCGCACCCCAGGAAATCAACTTTTGATTTTTCACTCTAAGGGACACACGCCCCTTAGCACCTAGGAGCTGCTGTCCTCGCGTTCTGTCGTAAACGCGTGCAGCCACGACTGCGCCTAGACTAAGCTGAGCCGACGCCCTTCGTTATGGCTGAACATATCGACGTCACGACGCTCACGTAGGACCGGTTGAACGAGCTGCTGCGACAACTTCACGAAAGCTCTGAAGAAATCGCGGCACTGACGGCCGAACGCACGTCCCTGCAAAATGAAGTCGCACGAGGACAGCAAGCACAATCACAAGCACATGGCACCTCGGGACCGGGACAACCTGCACCCAGGCCCTCAGATTCGTTTTGGGGCACGCTGATCGCTCAGTGTCCCTTGAAGGCCAACGCTGATTTTCAGTGTCGTCGTGTTGAAAACACTGATTTTTCTGTCAGAGGTCCACTGGTGATCCCCGATCGATCCTAGGGAAGGGTTACAGGCTCGTTGTCCTGGGGGGTTATGGGCGCACTGACCCGCTACTTAACAAGCCCTTTTATCCCAGTGGTCTAGTGGCTGGGATTCTGAGATGGTATCCGAGCGAAGGTCTCGGGTTCGAATCTCAGTGTGTGCACTTCGGGCATCCCAGTGCGGGGGGGTGTCAGAGGTCCACTGGTGATCCCCGATCGATCCTAGGGAAGGGTTACAGGCTCGTTGTCCTGGGGGGTTATGGGCGCACTGACCCGCTACTTAACAAGCCCTTTTATCCCAGTGGTCTAGTGGCTGGGATTCTGAGATTTTCAGTGTACAAAAAATATAAAGGCTGAACAGTCAGTGTTGTTATTCACTGTTACATTGATTGTTATTCCTGCACTCGTCAAGGGACTTTGTTGAGCGAGGAATTTGGGCAATCGTTATGGCTCATGGGCTCAATCATGGCGAAAACGCACTGTAGGTACCGTGGTTGGCTGCCTAGGTAGCAAGTCACGGCGCCAATCACGGCGAAAAGGCAAGACGGGAATTTCAGATTCAGGGTCGCACTCGATATAAACTCTGAAAAGTCAGAGTTCGAAATTAAGAAACAATGAAACATCAGGGTCGTTTAAAAACAAAAGGCTGATGCATCAGGGTCATGATAAAAAACGAGGGTCAAACTTCAGGAATTCAGGGTAAAAATCCTGACTTCTGAGGCCCTGCCTGCACCGCAGGCATCGCAGCACGGAATGTCAGTAGATCTGCACTGTAGATGCTCGATTGATCCTAGGGGGGTTACAGGCGTGTTCGCCTGGGGGGTTATGGGCACACAAACCCGCTACACAAACAAGCCCTTTTACCCCAATGCAGGGCTCAGGTTTGCAGTGTAATTTACCCTTCTATACTGATAATAAAGGTGAAATTTTGAGTCTACACTGATGGGCTGGGGTATTTTTTTGGTGAAATAGTGTTACACTAATCTGTAAGGGTATCGTTGTAGGCCACACTGGTGCCTTGGTGTAATTTTATAGATACCGAAAATTACACTGAAGGGCGTACAGGGACCCCCCCTCCCCCCCCCCCCCCCCCCCCCCCCCCCCCCCCATTTTTTTCCCCGAGATTTGTCAGATCGTGTCCGATTGGTCAGTTAGGAATAATTCCCTTGCCAGCACGACACGCAACCCAATTTAGGGGGCAACTACAGTATTGCTGCCTGAACTAGGTCTAGCCACTGGGACCACATTCAGACTGTCGGTGCGTGGAGATGCTATCCGTGTCCCCGACCGAGGCGCTCTGGGTGTTTCTGTCCCGATGCGTTGCCGTGTTGGTTCGGCAAGCATAGCAAGCAGTATCGCCACACACCGTTGTGAGAATTGAGAATGGAATGAATGAACTAGAAATGAGATGTGTACAAGTAGGAAACACAAAAGTGTTGTACCCTCTAAAGACTACCCCACTACAGCCTAAATAGACTATAGCATATATAAGTTTGACACACCCCCATAGGCAAAGTGGGGGAGAACAAGAGGTCACAAGACCAGTCAAGAAAGCAAAGCAAGCTCAGGGTGGATCACAAAGTCACCACGCAGTCTGAGCACAAGCAAAAGGGGCCACAAGGCCAGTTCACATGCAGAGTTATATAAAGGAAAGCAAACAATACAGTGAACACAACCTAGCAAGTGTAAGCATGCAGGTATAAGTATATAGAGTACAGTACAAGCAGAGTCAAGAAGTCAGCAAGTGAGGCACAGTAGGTACAAGGCCTAACACAGTACAGAAACGCTGATGATCACAAGGCTGAAGTGCCTTGGTGAAAACATCAGCAGTGTTGGCCTAAGAGGCCACGTAAGCAAGACGAAGCTGGCCACGCTACTGCAACTCTCGAGCAAGGAAGTAGCGCAGAGCAATGTGCTTCGTTCTGTGCTCCAATCTGTGCTCCTGACACAAGGCCAACATGGCCTTGTTGTCGACGTACAGAATTGGAGGAGAACGAGGCGCCTCTCCCAAGTCGGTCAGCAGGTAGGTGAGCCAGCGTAGCTCCTGTGCAGCCATGGCCCCAGCGTAGATCTCAGCCTCACAACTGGAGCTGAGAACAGAAGAAGAGCGGGTAGACCGCCAAGAGACAGAACCGGAGCCAAGACTGAAGGTGTAACCCTGTGACGACCGCTGCGTAGCCAAGTCGTCAACCCAGGAGGCGTCAGCGTGACCAGTGAGGACAACTCGAGCCCGTCCTCCAAGCACGAGCCCCATGCCCGATGTACTGCACAAGTATCGCAACACCCTCTTCGCAGCATCCCAGTGCACCTTTCGGTGCCTGCCGGGAGCCACGTAGCGAGCCAGAAGGCTGAGAGGGTATGCGAGGTCAGGTCGAGTGCAAGTCATCAGGTACATGAGGCAGCCCACAAGCTCTGGATACGGGCCACTCGGCTCTACGGACTCGTCCGAAGGTGGAGCTGAGAGCGAGTGACCGGTAGGCAGAGGAGTGGACTGTGGCGAGGAGTACGTGAAGCCGAAGCGCTGAAGGACCTGCTGCACCATGTGTGACTGAGTCAAGGTAATGGTGCGCTGTGCTCTGTCCCGGGTGATCCGCAAGCCAAGATAGCTTGTCAGCTCACCCAGGTCTGTGCACGTGTGTCTCTTCTGCAGCTCGGACTTCACGTGGGCGAGTGCCTCAGTGTCAACAGTAGCAAAGACGAGGTCGTCTACGTACACGAGAACGTAGAACGGCTGCAGAGTAGTGTCAGTGCGTAGAAACAGAGAAGGGTCAGCAGTGGAAGGAGCAAAACCAAGAGAAGCAAGATTCGTCCTGAGTGTGTCGTGCCACTCACGGGGTGCCTGGCGGAGACCGTAGACTGGCCGCCTGAGGCTCCACTGGGTACCAGCAGGAAACGACCCAGTGAAGCCAGGTGGGCGGCGCAGCCAGATCTCCTCGTGCAGGCTGCCCTGCAGGAAGGCTGTGCTGAAGTCAAGCGAATGGAGCTCGTAGTCACGGTGAGCAGCAACGTGCAGCAGTACCCGAAGAGTGGTCATCTTCGGGGTAGGGGAGAAGGTATGAAAGAAGTCAACTCCCTGTCGCTGACTGAAGCCACGAGCAACGTAACGCGACTTGAAGACAGGCGGAGAACCCGGCGGCCGCTGCACCCTGAAGATCCACATGCCACTGACGATGTTCGCCCCAGGCGGGGGAACCTCGTCGACGTAAGTGCCTGTGGACTTCCAGGAAGCCATCTCGGCGTCCATGGCTGCCTGCCACTGAGAGGAGTAGGGACCCTCTATCGCCTCTGCGTAAGAGCGTGGGGTCGGGATGTCTGGTGCATCCGGGTCTCCCTCAGGGGCAAGCAGCATGGACACGAGATGAGGTACAGAAGCAGCAAAGCACTCAAACTCCTCCTGTCTGTCCTCAAGAACGTCCGTGCCAAGAGCACACTCACCCCCGACGGACGGAGGACTGACAGACACAGACGCAGACTCAGCAACAAGGCTAGCGGCGAAGACTAGGCGACAGGTAGCAGCAAAGTCAACAAGCTCAGCAACGAGAGCAGACGCAGCAGTGGACTCAAACAAAGGGACAGTGAAAGCGCGTGACAGCTGGACAAGCAGCACGGAGGGAGTCAAAC